CCCCCCCCCCCCCCCCCCCCAAAAAAAAAAACCGATTAAACCAACCAAAAACTGCCGCTGGTTTCGGTTCAATAGTTCAACTTCTCATGTATAAAAGATTGGTAATATTCAGTCAGCTTCAGGTTTGGCATGACCAGATCATTCATACCCGAGCCAACTGATAATGTACACATAAACTAAAAATTGAAACTTCAACAAATAGCAGAAGAGGACAATTAGGCTTCGATGCTACTAGTCTTCCCAAGGGCGAGAGTTGTTTGAGCCTTTGAAATGCCAAAATTATAAGGCTTAAACATTACCAAGCAACGTCGCACCAGAATGAACCAACTAAACTGTTGATCAATCGGTTTAGGTTGGTTTGGTTATGCACCATCTAGTAGTTCGACTCGGTGGCCTCACTACTATTCTACTAATATTTCCTACATGACTCATATTGGTACTTTCATAGTACAAAAGGTGCTAAAATAAGTTAAAAGCTCTATAGTCCAAAACTTGAGCACAACTGGATCAGGAAGCCACTGTTTTACGTTTCACCAATATTTACTGCTTCTCAAAACAAGTACTCAATCTGAATTTCAATTGCTGGGCCAAAACCTACAAAGGTTCACTTTAATACTGCATAACAGAACCCAAATAGCTAACTAGATTCTCCATAGTAACCTTCTTTTAAGACTTTGTAAGAGTACTAGTAGCATTTACGTGGGAAATATTAATAGAATAGTAGAAAGGGCATAGTGACGATCAGTTAGGCGTATCTTCGTAATAAATAGAGAGGGTTAGGGACCATAGAAGGGAGATCATTTTAGTGGGATTGTCCACTGTGGGACTTGGGAGAGAGATAGCCCTCTCGAAAGGCTATTGTTACGTTATAGTTTCCTTTTGATAGTGCAATATATTATTATCAGACTCTGGTATTTCGATGATAGGGTTGAGGTTGTTCATTCTTATAATTTCTTAGCTTCTCTACAAAGAGAAGAAAGAAAGTCTGCAAACATTTTTTAAAGGCAGAATAACAGAACCCAAGTTCTAGCTTTATATAGCAATTTTATTAAAGACACTGATCACAATTCTTAGTTATTAACAATTATTCGCACATAAAACATAAGGCACTTTTTTCGTCTTAAAGGGTAGCTAAACTATTTAAAAAACCACACATGATTTCAGAAGATATTCCTCGCAATTGGATGGTATTTAAATCCTATACGAAGAATACATTTTAACTCCCAAGCTGCCAAAAGAAGGCGGGGAAAAAGAGCATACCAGGCAAAGTGGCTTTGTAATTTGAATGTTAGAGACAGAATGAACTCCACCTGTTGCAATTAGTATGGTGTCCCCAGGCCTATGAAGAACAAAACCATTCAAGCTCTATTAACAAGTAACTCTTATTATTTCCTCATAAAATATATATATATGTATATATATATATATATATATGAACATGCAACAACTTACCTAGCAGCAGCAACAGCTGCCTCTACGGTTGGGAAAACTCCAGACTCGGACAAATCTTTAATAGATCGTTCTACTCGCAGCCACAGCCTCGGATGACATGCCAAGTAACGCCATCTGTGGCAAACGAGGGCGGTGTTATACCGATCTGCAAACTCAATGGCAAAAGTGACAAAAAAAGCAGAAACTCCATGGAAATATGCAGGCGGCATCCACTAACTAACAACTTCACAAGGCTAATGATAAAAAATTTCCACTGGAATAGAAGCAAAAGAAATGCACAAAGTACAAAGAACTGGCGTTCTTAGAGCAAAATTAGTACCATATTGAGTTAAACGTCATCAAGATCTTCACTATTGCCGCCCGAATTTTTCTTATCTCTTTCCAACTAGTTAGCCCAACCTATTCATACCCAAAGTCCAGGAAAGAACTTCTAACTTTACAAGAAATTCTTTTAAACCTCACAAATCGAGAACTGTTAAGGCTCAGGAAGTTCACTTGAACCACACGTATGAATATTGACAAGGCTCAATCAAAAACTCCGATAGACTCAACATAAGAAAGATATGCATTCCATCTCTTCAAACGAGTTTTTTCGATTTAGATATGCAATGAAATAACAATTCCAACTTTTGTCAAATTCGAAATCAGAATTATATTTCTTCTCCCAATCCATTTCCAGAAATACCTAAATTGCAAATTTTCACTCTCTTCCTCCCAAAAAACCTCTTAATTTGTGGCACAACCAGAAGAATCCTTCAATTTCATCCAAACGAAGCAATTTTAAGAGGAAACAAAAAGAAATCCTCAAATAGATCAAACAAATTTTACGAAAAAACATTCGATAAAAAATTGAAACACAGTGCGGCAGGCAGCCAACAGAGAGAGAGAGAGAGACAAAAGGTACCTGGTATGGGGGAAAGGAAGCTGAAAATATGCATCAAACAGCCATCGTCCAAATTATTGATTCGAGCCGACGAGGATGGAGTGCCTTTTCTTTTCCACTTCCTCTGCTTGTTATCTTCCATCGTCGGCGTCTCAGCCATCGAAATCACGGCCTTCAGCTCTGGCTCTTCTTTACCACTTAGCTGATATCGGCCTTCGAGTTTTGACTGCCATAGCCCACACAAAGCTTGGGACTCGCTCAACAAATGACGACCTTCTGTCATTTGCTTCGGCAACCGGATTGTTTCGGTAGTAGCTTTCTTCTGGCCTTCAATTTCTAAATGGC